ACAAATAATCAACCTTTTTATGAGTTAATAAACAAACATAATTCTTTTTTTTCTGAATCTAATTAAGAATACACTAACTAATGAAGGATTTAAACGTAATTAAGGATAATGAATAACACATCAATCTGCATTCAATAATGATAAAATGTTCCGATAGTCATTGTCGTGCTATATTTAGCTTTCTGTTTCTTTGTCTCTTGGCAATTTAACCTTTCCATGCCAAAGCCGGACGTAGAGAACAAACAATTTTGTTTTTTTTTTCCCCCTCCTCTGTTACGATTCCGAATAGGATCGTCTTCCGATTTTAGGAAAGGAAGGCGCCACCAAGATTTTTCCAAATATAAAGCACTGCACTCGAATCGTATACTTCTTGCTAGAAGGGACGTGAAGAGAGAGAAAAGAAGCTGGGGATTTTTTCCCGCATCAGGAAAAAATTTAGGGATCTCGAGTGGTTATTTTTATCAACAAATAATTAAAAAATCCTCTATTAATTTATTTATTCTACGCATTTCAAAAAACAGGAGGGTCGAATAAATAGCAAAAATGGCCCCTCTCAACTCTAGCTTAAAGCCTGTTAGTTTCATAGAATACAATATAAACCCGACCCCTAATTTTACAAATAAGAGCTACCATCTTATGTTATTTTTGGAGAGTCCAGCCGAACGTTTCTAAAATGATCTCATCCTAATTTGGATGGTTTATTCTATTATCATAGTTAAACACTCGCCGATGGATTTACAAGACGTTAAGCACATACTTGGATATTTTATCGTGTTTTACAGGCCTAAAATCAATTATAATATTAGCTTATAAATAACTGATAAACCCCGAGATTTTTTTTACTAATGAAAATTTGATTATTATCTCAGATTAATATAATAAAATTTCACACTTCATTTCCTTATTAAATTAACGTTCTACGGGCCTTTTTTAAAGGGTAAAATATTAACATTGAATCCTGTTGTGCCACAAATAACAGCTATCATCTTGTGTTATTTTTAGAGAGCTTATCTGAACGATTGTAATATTCATTTAAAACTTTCAAATAGGATGTAATATAATAGCAAGAAAAATAAATTTACAATTTACTGTCTCAAATATTATATTACTGTAAATAGATCGATAAAGATTACAGATACGTTATGATACGTTTGTATACTGTTTATGTTTACATATAGCAAATAAGCATACATATATATGTCAGAAAAACAGAGCGATAATATTAAATTTAATTCATCACTCACGGAATTACACTTTTGATAAACGAAAATAAAGTTTAAAAGCGTATAAAAATGATTTTAAATATAGAAAAGTTTGTGTTAATTGTAGATTGGAGTTTATAGATAAATTGAATCACCAACGAGCAATTTTTACTATGACGTCGGGCTGCAAGTTTTAATCATATTTTAATAACGTGACTTCCGAAAAGACAGATGGACCGGCGACAGGCCTGCAAACTATGCAATACTTATTTACACTGTCATGGGTCTTTACGAAGTAAAGTGAAATGATCGAATGGATAAAAACCACAGAACACTGCTAGTTGGTCGTGGGTTCAGAGCCTCATCAACAGCCTATCATGTGGAGTTTACGGGTTTTCTTCACGTGTTTAACACCTAAATGGGAGGCGAATTTTCTGTAGGCAGATCATCCAAGCATTGCATTGCCTTATTCCATTAATGTGACGTGTACAGTTTGAGAGAGTGAGTACGAACTCATACAAACTAATGTTGTGGTTTTATCCACTCAGCTGGAGGTTTTTCATTAAAGAAAATTAATAGTCTTATAAAGTTTGTTATACACTCCTGTTATAAGATAAAATTAAAAAATCTGTTACGTTTTACTAAATAAAGAAACAATAACCAAGCATAAAGAAGCACGAGGATCCCCAAACAGTATAAAGTTTGTTATTCCGCATCATGAAGGAAGTAAGAGTCCAGTTAATAAAAAATTTAATTATTCATTTTGTCATTTAATTATTGTAACTCATATATATATATATATATAGCCTAATGTTGAAGATATTAATAAAACTTTAAAAATAACTTGAATTCTGTATTCTAAGTGAATTTAATGTGATACAATTATTAACAAAATTTTAATTCTTAATACACATAAGTTGTTTTCTCGAATAAGATTTTTATCTACGTGGACTGTTATGCATTGTGGTTGTCATTTGGGCTTTTCTGTGTTGCGGTTACTCTTTGGACTTTTGTGTGTGTTGTGGTTGTCTTTGGGCTTTTGTGCATTGAGGTTTTTGTCTTATAAGCATCTGTCATATCAATATCTGTCCTGGAATCGTGTATTGTTGTATGAAGATTGCGAACACTGGCGTAACACATACTGTATATATGTTACGCCAATTTTACGAAACGATTTTAGATAGCACCTGAAGTATAATGTAAGCTAATAGAAGTCTCGTAGATTGTGTTATAATATGAATTAAAACATTTAAAAATGCTTTTTAACCTAAAAATGTTTGTATTAATTAAATACAGTATAAGAACATAGTAAATATTGTAATTTAAGTTTATATGTTTCTAACACATTTAACACTCGGTTACATCACCGAATATAATTAAATATGTGATTCGAAATTAAGAATTTCAATATATTATTTATGTGAAAAATTATCAACAAATTCCTTAGAAAATATCTTTTAAAATATGTTTTGTTTATTAAATTCGAATAAAAAGTTGAAAGGTTTTAAAGACGCATTTTGCCCCCCTCTACTCTTGAAATATTTTTACTCTCCGATGTAGTTTAAGAAATTTATTGGCAAACTTACAGGTGATATTTTTCTGCTTTGATTTTAACTTTAAAAACATTGTGAAACACTTGAGCACGTGAAAAAAAATCTTGGATTTCTTAACGAAAATAATAAACGAAATACAGTATTCGATTTATAGTTGATGTGCCGCCATCTGTCGATTAAAAAGTATATTAAAAAAGTAGAAAAATAACTATTTGTAGTCTATAATCTTTTTATCATTGATCTTTCTTTCTTCAGTTTCTTTCAACATAATTAATTTACTATTTTTTTCTAATAAAATTTCAAAATTGATTACGTATATATTTATTTTGCATTTTGTAATTATAATATAGACCTATATTTATTAAACATTTTTAAAATTTTAATGGTGATTTAAATATCTTTTAAAATTCTATATAAACAATATAACATATATAAAAAGACGTTAAAAATTTGTAAAATTAAAGAGAAGAATTTAAGAGAAGAAATCAAGAGACGAAAAGCAGGCAAAATTGAATTATCTTATTAAGATTTAGAGGCTACGGAGGGTTTATCGTTTATTATTAGAATATGCCAGAAAATTAAATTATATATTTAGAATTAGTTGAAATCAAGAAGAAATAATAAATGCATTGCAGTTATGGGTTGATAATAATAATAATAATCAGCGCAGAGCCCAAACGGTTAGGAGTTGAAAGTTGAAATTTAGTATACAGGGTACGTACGCCATGAGAATGCACACTAAGAACGGATTTTTGGAAATTCCCTCCCCCGCGGGGAGAGGGAGAGAGGGTTAAGGATTACCCTGAAGAATTCAGCTTCTACTGTACTATTTTAGATGTGGCTTTTTGCGTTTTTGCACAAAATCGAACATATTTTTAGACTCTTCTAAAAATTCTCTACTTAATCTCGAAAGAGGGGGGCTAATTCTTGCACCCGGTGAATAACTATAAGGGTTATCTTACATAAGGGTTTATCACATCGAGTGCCCAATCTAAACCCATTTTAAGAATTCTTTATTCCTCTACTGTACACAATTCCAAGTATTTTTAAAACGTGTTAGATTGGGCACTCGGTGTGATAAACTCTTACGTAATATAACCTTTGTAAATATGAATCAAATAATATAATATAATAGAATGGTTAGAAGTATGAAATGAAAACCATATACTAATTTCATAAATTTTAATTTATAATTCTTAAAAATAAATTATTTCTTATTTGGCATTTTTTTGTATAGTAAAATAGTTCTATACTTATATTGATATATCAATTATAAATTTCATTATATTTTAAACAGTCTTGAAAAAAAATAATGGATAGACGGATAGCTAAAGTTTAACATGTGACCCTAAGCTATGATACAAGAGGCCCTACATTAATCTATCAAATAATAACAGGTACATATTGAAGATTGAACGAACTCAATGCCTTAAGCTGTAGCTTATTTAGATTAATTGTAAATCCAGTCTTATATACATTAAACCCTCTTTAACTCTCTTAGGTTTCCTTCGTGCTTCACTGTTTTAATACAATAAAGTAAATTATAATACAGTACAATCTCGGTAATCCGACAGATGTATATGGACCATGACAGTGTCGGATTATTGGAAGTATGATGAATTCGATGTTTAATTAATTAGGAAAGAAAATGTGTGTTTACTTGCATAATATTAGTACATTGTGTTAATAAAAACATAGAATTCAAAAAAATATAAAATGCATTACTATATAAGATACTATACGTTTATTTTTTTAACACCTTTTAGGACGATGATCCTAACAATACTTTTAATATCGTGTTCCCTTCTTGTTCGTTTCGATGTCATGCCACATCTAGTGTTCAAATTTTGTAGAAATTGGAGTTTGAACTAGTAGGAATCTTATCTACAACTTGGCAATAGTGCTGGTAATACCCGAGAGTCAATTAGTGTCGGATTACTAGAAGTGTCGAACTTGCGAACGACCAGATTAACGAGATTGCAATGTATCATTCAACTGATATGACTTATTTCGTCCCTACTTAAACTTTTAATTTGCAATAATTCCTTCATGAGTTGTTTCTACATGAAGTTATTTTTTTCATGACTTTATTGTTATTATTATTATTATTTTGAATTTTTGGTTAAATTAAATCTAATTTATGATTCTCTGTAAATATATTAATACAAACATACCATTGAATATTAATGTTTTTGAAAGAACATTTATTACATAACATCATACACAAGTATTATAAAAATGAACGACTTTAAATTCTTGTTAATAAGTATTTGAGTAATACAATCTTAAGCGAATTGCTATTTTCTAGAAAAAAATAAATAAAAGAGTAATTCTATCTTAAATATAAACAATATGAACTTTAAAATGAATTTCTTATTAAAATCTGGGCAAATTCATTTTAAATATGAACAAAACAACTCTTTAAACATTTTTCTCATTTTATCTTCATGAACAGATTTTAAGGCATTTAAATATTGTAAAAATTTTAACGATAAATTGCACCATTCATATGCATTTTCTGTGTTGTTTCTCATCAGAAAATAAATGCCACAATTCCAGCATTCTACCATTACCCACACCAACTAGAGAATCATGAAATGTAACAATTTAAACTGTTATAATCCTTTTAAATGAATATTTGGTATTTAAAAATTTGCTTATAAGAAAATAGAAGTTTATGAGATTTTATACCTCTATTTCAGGATACTGCTTATTCAATTTAGTTTGAATAATTCGTAGTAATTCTGTCAAACACGACAATGTTTCTTTATATATATCTGTTTTTCCACTGTTCAATACTTTTAACATAACCTGTGATAATATTAAAAAGAAATTATTAATTATATTTCATGAATTATATCACCTGGGATAATTATAATAATAAAAAATATCCAACATGAATTAAGCTGTGATAATTGCGACTCAGTTGCATCACATCTCACTCAGCTGGAGGTTTTTCATTAAAGAAAAGTAATAGTCTTATAAAGTTTGTTATACACTCCTGTTATAAGATAAAATTAAAAAATCTGTTACGTTTTACTAAATAAAGAAACAATAACTAAGCATAAAGAAGCACGAGGATCCCCGAACAATTTGACAAGTTGGGGTAATTTTCATGGACCAAATAAAATGGTTTACAATATAAAGTTCGTTATTCCGCATCATGAAGGAAGTAAGAATCCAGTTAATAAAAAATTTAATTATTTTATTCATTTTGTCATTTAATTATTGTAACTCTTATNCCTGGGATAATTATAATAATAAAAAATATCCAACATGAATTAAGCTGTGATAATTGCGACTCAGTTGCATCACATCTATACATTCATTTTTCAGATTCTTCGTGATTGCTAATTTTAATGCATTAATAGTAATTCTATAGTATAATAAATTGTGTTCCTACAAAAAAAAAAAAAACAATAATTTGATGCTTCAGTAAGCTTAATTATTTTAATTTTTTGCTGTAAATCATTGAGTTACATCATTTCTTACCATGGATAAACTTGATATTAATTCGAAAAATTTTGCATCAAGCTGTGTCATATTCGACATACATTCAAAACAATTTTGCAAGGTTGGACTTTTTAATTTGATTCTGATTTCAAATTCATACAGTAATAGTATTTGAATAAAAGTGTTGTCATGCTCAACGTTTCCAGTTAAATTGTTACTCTTCTTGTACTGATCAATCATGAAAATCATTTCACTGCAATGAAAATCAAACAAGAATTAATTAAATGAATTTTAAATTGTTTATGTCTTTAACAATTATTATTCATAAATAACTTTCGTCTCTTACAATATTTCACAATAAAATTACAATATATTACATTATTTCACAAAAATTGTTCAAGAAAATTTTCTGTGAAATATTGTAATGCAAAATTGTGCAAAACTGACATAAAATCTCATTAAAATTTTAAGTTTTATATTCTTTATAATTATGACACTCATACCTACGTATATAATGAAAATATCTTCTAATAAAATAAAAGTATCAGTTTAAATTTCAGATAATCCATATGCCAGTTAGATAGAAAAAATAAAAACATAGTCAAAGTTAAGATCAAGTGTAAGCAGATTTTATAATTTTACAATTATATCAAGGTACTAGTGTTAATCATCTATATTAATTGTGATTCAGTAAAGTCAATACTAAATCAAGGTTAAAAATGACCTGAATTTGCCAATAAAAATGACGGTTAATCTTCTAAACTGAGGAACATTAAGAATTATATCGTGAAATTTCTATAAATGTTAAAAATATTAATGACTTTCTATATATTTTTAACTGTAATCACATTAGTAATAATATTGCATTGTCAATGCTGAAATTAGAAATCATCGCCAGAATCGTTCTTTATGGAACTGCGTTGATTCCAATCACAATTAAAAGAATTATAGGATTAGTGAATAGACGTTTATATGAGAAATGAACAGGTAAAGTTAGAATTAAAATTTGACTATCTCGACATTTCACAAGTGATTAATTTAATTAAAAAAAGAGCTGTTCTGAACGTTAAACATTGTTCAAAGGGGGGGAAAAGATATCAATAATTTAGAAATCAAAATATAAATTTGAATGTTTATCATCTCCTAGTGCAGATTTTTTCTGCATTAAGCCAAAAAGTGGCGGATATGTTGTATAAAACTCAACAATTGCTCCATAAGTTAATTTTAGATACTGTATCTCTATTTTGAAATTGTATAATTATTGAAAATTTTATAAGATCGTTATGCCTTGTTTTCTCTACTTTTTGTTAAGAAGATTTAAAAAAAAAAATCTAACACTGAGTTACTGAATTATTTTGCTTAATTAAGAAAGATCAAGACACATTTATAGCACAAAGTTAAAATTGTGTGAGGCGACATCTGTTATGAAATGTTATAAAAAATAACTTTTCTATTATTAATTATTATAAAAAAAGGCAAAAAGCTTATTTTTGTTTGTAGAGGTGAGTTTTTAAAAATATCGTAAATGCCAGTAACGAGTAAAATTTTCAATTAAGTTCGATCCCACTCGAAATGTGGCACACTTTTAACCTTTAACCACCAAAATTCAATAGCATCAATGTCCCTTATAAAGTTCGCATGCTAAATTTTGTTTCCTAATCATTACCCTATTCTGAGATACCAAACGAAATAGATGCCAACATACACTCAGAATTTTCCTCCTTTTTTACTTTCTTGGGATCAGAGATCTTAAAGCGTCGAGATTTGCGAGATAATAATAATAATAATAACTCCCCCGTGGTCACCACCTTGTCTTCGTGGGAGAGCCCAGTAATTTTACCGATCCATAGAGCAATGCAGGCTGGAGCATAAGCTCCTGGTAGGGATCAAAGGAAAACAAGAACAAAACTTACTAAGCATAAGCAACATCCTCCTAAATCTGCCATAGAAAGATTTACATAGAAAGAAAGCCCTTCCATGTAAAGATGGCAGACGTGGCCTGATTGACATAGCTAACCTTCACTACAAACAAATACACACTCTGCAAGGGTTTTTCTACAAAAAACAAGAAACATCGCAGTTACCTAAAGCAGTAACTCTAGCAGATTCAAATAACACACCGTTAAACTTACACTCACATCATACAGACATGACATAACATATAAAAAGCACAGACATCACAGTTACCTAAAGCAGTAATTCTAGACACCATCAAGCAATTGTGGGCTCAAAAGGCACTCCATGGCAGGCATCTTATGACCTGACCCAGGATTTTGTTGACAAAATTGCGTCAAACAGCTGATTAGCTCGGGGATGCCTCTTTGGGGAGTCGGAAGGATTCATGATTGCCATACAGGATCAGGTCATAAATACTAAAAACTACAGAAAACACATACTCAAAGATACAACACTCACGAATGACACATGCAGAAAATGTCACATCATGCCAGAAACTATACAACACATCACTTTGGGTTACAAGCTCTTGGCACAGACAGATTATTTACACAGACATAATCAAGTAACAAATACAATATACCAAGATCTTGCAAACAAACACAAATTATTAGACATCCACGAACCATACTACAAATGCATCCCACAGACAGTATTGGAAAACAACACGCACAAAATGTATTATGACAGAGCCATAATCACAGAGGAAACAATTTACCACAACAGATCAGACATCAAACTCATTGACAAGCACAATAAAATCACATACATTATAGACATACCATTCCAAACACTCACTATATACAAAACACATGCATTGAAAATATCAGCAAGTACATGGAATTCACCCAAGAAATAAGGCATCTGTAGAAGATGGGTAAGGTGCTTATTGTACCTGTCGTTCTCTCCTCTACAGGTGTTGTATCACACGCACTACACAAAAGCCTGGGAACATTACAATTGAATAGAAACACATGCATCACACTACAGAAGGCCACTATATTGAATACATGTCATATTGTTAGGAAATTTCTGAATACAGACACACACACTGTCACACTTATCACTTGTATATTCTGAAACCGTGTCTTCTTTTATCTGTCTTTATCGTCACAACTAGGTGCATAGATAGACACAGGACATTTCTACATCATCTTTATTCGGAATATCCTATAGGCCTATACGCGTTTCGGGTATAACATTTTGTAATATGAGAAATTCATGATATGTTTTATTATGTAGCCGACAGATGAGGGGTTACATAATAAAACATATCATGAATTTCTCATATTACAAAATGTTTATATTATAATAGGTTACAACATACCATGACTTCCGGGATTTCTTGTAGGTGATGTTGGCACGTATACATTCCGTTTAAAATTACTTATTTACAGTTAAAATTGTTTTACTGTTAAAATACCATTATAGTTTAAAATATATTTGCATTTAAAGATAGTATTACACTTAAGGATTCTTGACTTAACATCGAACATTTTCTAGCAGCTAGAAGATTTCTACTAGAAAATGTCCTGTGTCTATCTGTGCACCTAATCCTGACGATAAAAACACACATCACTTATTTAATTTTTGTCTTTTTTTGGTTACTATGCCTTGATTCCGGTCCGGCATAGTACACAGCCACCGGTATCAACCAAGTATAACCACTAAATACGGTATAATAATAAATTTTACACAATTACAATACTCTCCCGTGTTGTATAGGCCTATACAACAGCGGGGAAAGTAAAGTACGAGTTTTTGGGTATTGATCTCGCAATCTGTAGAGATTTCTATAATTCTAAGATCAATTACTTGACGATATAAACTAAAGAAATCTCAATAATGAATTTTTTTCAATTTAAATTTCATGTCGACAATACCTTAGACTATTCAAATTGGTTTCGTTTTCACTTCGGAACATATATAATCCAGAAGCGACGGCTAACAATAAGAAATTATTCCTTCTTGTAATAACATCCACATTAACTTCCTTTAAAATATTCATTATTTTCCAGCCCATACTAAATAATCGATATACATAAAATTGAGGTACATTCTCCTGAATAGCCATATTCCAACATATCTTAGAAAACCAAACGCATTTATCTTCTATTTCTTGATCATCCTGTAAAATAAAATTGTTATTCAAAAACGTTTAACGTTTATAATAATCTCCAATATTTAAAAAATAACTTGTATTGCTTGAAGACATTCTTCGCTTTTTTCTACGTCCGATAGAATTTTGTTAAAATCTAAATTTTCTTCTAAATAAAATTAAAAAATATATATATATTGTTTAACGTTTTTAAAAATATGAGATTTTTAATAAAATATTAAGAAATTTACCTCCGTGTGAAATTTGAACTTGAATAGAACATTGCAGAAGTTTTAATTTTATTGGATAATTTCCAAGAATATTATCATATAATTTGTCAAAAATTTGAATATTAAATTCAACACCATTATTTTCTAGAGCAAGACGGTAATATTTCATTACTAAATGGACAAGTGCAGTCGACACTGCATCATTAATACATGTCTTCTGATTATTTATCTTCAAAACTAAAATGATTATTTTTTAAAAAATTAATAAAATTTAAATGTTATAGAAAATGTTGAATACTTACCAATAACATTTACTGTTTCTTCAATTAATTTCTTATCTTTAGAAAGAATGCCTATTTTTAAAGCTAAGAGCATACTTAAAACGTCTCCATTTTTGATAAATTCTGTATCGTCGAGTAGTTCTTTTGCTTTATCAACCAATCCAGCTTCTATATAACTGAAGGACAATTGCCGTTTCAACCAGTTCATATGGTCTTGAACATTGTGGTGATTATTAGTATTTGTAAGCTCTTCGTATATCAATAAGCAACATTGATAGCATTGTACAGCATCCTCATATAATTTTTCTTTAAAATACCCTGTGCCAATTTCCATTGCAAAGAGAAATACATTTTGATCAGATTCAGGATCAGATAACGATTTAAGCTTATTTAAATATTGCTTTATAACGTTTTTAGCTTCTTTAAAATTTCTTTGTTCAAAATATAAATTTAATTTTAAAGTTAAGAATCTTTTAATCTCTGATTGTTTTACATCTTTAAAATTTGGAATAAATTTTAATGCCAATTGGACATAACCAAATTTCAATAACATTTCTGCGAATTGTATTGCGTTACAATTAAAGGTGAATGAATCTAACAATTTATTAACAAATTCTTCGATATATGAGGGCTTCCCACTACGAAGAATAATATATAACCTATCCAGAAAGCATTCTAATTGTTTACCTTGAGTATCTACGAGTTCAATAGCATGAAGAGCTTTTTGCCAATAACGTTCAGCATCCCATTTAATATAAGCATTTGCTAATAATTTTAACGTTTGAGATGATTGGGATGATTGCACTTCTCCTTTTCTCCTCATCCCATAAGATTCTCTCAACCAAAAAACACTCCATTCGTAATTTTCTTCTTCAAAGCATTTGACTCCATTATTATAACAAAGATCAGTCAAATAATTTTGGAGGAGAGGAAAGTTATAAACAATTTCTTTAATTTCAGAAAAATAGTTGCTACCCTTTTCGTTTTCTCCTGCATTAACAGATAATTCCAAACGATATAACATATTTATTGTTTTATATTTTTCTAAATCCATCCTATAATTATTAGACAAATTTCCATTTTTAATTATTTCCTGAAACATATTCAAACACAGCTGTAAAAAGTCGAGAGTTTGTTTTGCATCCAATGGATTTTTATTGATCATCCAGACTCGAGAAGCTTTCAATAATAATTTCATCACAATAATTAAATTTTTTATCTTAAATGATAAATTAAAATCATTGTTCATATTCAAATTCAATAATAAAAATCTGGAAAATATTTCGTATATAAGAGCATTTGATTGATCGAATTTTCTAGCATTTAGTTTATTATGCACAAGTTTGTTTAATTTATGAAGATAGTTTTTTATTCTTTCAGTGAATTTGTCACAATCAAGGTTAACATTCTTTAATAAGCAATTTGATATATCTCTTAAAGAATGTAATGAGGTTTCCATTATTTGTGCATCAATATTTTCACAAGTATCATCTATCGAATTCTCTAATAAACATAAAACATTGTCTAATTCATTCATAAGTTCATCAATACAATCTTCAGCTTGAATTAAAAAGATTTCGTCTTTATCTGACTGCATCTAAATAGAAATACGTAGTAGATTTTAATACATTTTAATTTGTAATATATTTCTGGCATTCATTTTACAATAGAAATATTCAAATGTATTGATTATTTAATTTATGATAAGTAAGACATTAGCCAAAAATCTCCACATACTAATACTGTATATGAAAATTGGATTCTCAAAATAAGCCTAATTCATAGTTGGGAAACCTGCAACTTTTTGTGTTTTCTAGTGCAACATATGAAATGTAAAATGATATAAGTTTAATTTTAATGTCACGAATTTTTATGTAAAGCCAGCAAATCGAATGTAGACAGAAATTAATTGATAATAAAAGTATTACGCTTATTAATTGATACTTTTTAAATGGTAGACAATATCATCTAAATTAATTAATCAAAATATCTATAACCATAAGGTAGATAATAGGAAGGGCTTATCACACCAATGACAAAGGGCACAAACGCTCAAAAATCAAAGTAAAAAATTTAATAAAACAGATAGGGTTGTACAATAAGATAATTATAAAGTATAAAAACCGTAAAAATCCAAAATGCATTTCGGACTATTTTCCAATGGAAAATAGTCCCTCATCAGTTGGTAATAGCGACAGGTCTAAGTATACTTAAAATTATACAAGGTGAAAAAAAATATATAAAATTTTAAATCAAACTTAAAACTATGCCTAAAGCTATACAATATAAAGGTGAAAACCATCGCCATGACTGTATGAGCAGTAAGCATTATCAATGTAGACAGGATTAAAATTTCTTCCTAACGTTGCATGGTAACGTGATGAACAGGGTGCTGATACAAAAATAGTTATGAGTTAGCCGAAATATTGGTTAACAGTTATGAACTAATATTATACAGTCAGTTTAAATTATGTACATACCAAAAACAGTAGAACAACAGAGTTGCAGGTTCAGACATTTCTACAAGATGCAGGGAGCGGTTACAAAGGAGGTGTGTTACCTTACACATCTGGAGCACAAGTGGTGACAACATATGATGCAGCCAGATGTCACTNTTGACTCAACATTTCCAAAATACGTATAATTTTTTGGGAATAATCCATATAAACTGTGCTATAAATAAAAAAAAATTGTAGGATTACTTATTGAGTGTGCACCGTTCGACGACGCCATTGCTTAAGCTTGTTTTAGTCGTGGAGCTTGTCATCGAATGGCGCTCGCGTGCTTCCTGATAAATTATTTTTTTTTGCGAAAAATTCGCTGAACTTTGGAGACATCATTAATATAAATATAATTTTTATGGACGTTAAATAATAAATGGTTTTTAGTAGGTCCGCTGCTCGTTTAAACTGAATGGTTTGTACAATATCCGCTATTGATCTAGATTCGACCAATGCTGTCGCGACACGAGTCGGCGATGACGTTTTACCGAATTATACGAGTTTTTTTAGCGTGTTTGTACGAATACGGTCGCAACTTTTTCGCCGTCATATAGGAATCCGAATTATATGAACCCGTTTTATAGGGGTCTACTGTACTTAATAATTAAGTAATATACTAATTTATAATAATTACTATTAGTAATTAATTAATATCACTACCAACAAAGATTTTTATACCTTAGGCAATAAAATACATGATTCCCATAGAAAGATGTTCCTAATTTCAAAACTCACCATCAAATTTTTATATCAAAAAAAGATCAAAAGATATAAACATTCAGAATAGCATATCGATATAGCATATTCATCTATAAATATCATTCTAACATTGTTTTATTTCTTTATTTACATCATTTTTCACGTCAGCAGATATATGAGGATGGGAATCCATATTCCTACATGAACTCCGGAACAAGTTTCGATCCCGCAAGATAGCAAAAGCCTTGTACCAAAAGTGGCTGTTCTACAGGCTGATTTACAATAACTATACTGCTTACTCCTCATAAGAAACCACTGCTTACTCTTCTGTACACTGCTTACTCCTCATAAGAAACCAGCAGTAGTCTCTCAGTATCACTGCGACCTTGGTAGCCCTTTCTACGGTTGACATGTCACCTTTCATCATATTCGTTGCTAACATCTCCAAGATTTCTAAGGAAAAAATTATTTTATTCGAACGTCATTTGGACGGATCTCAACAAACTGTTCCGAAACCTGCAAATAAGCTTAGTCCGGTTTAAAGCACTTTAAACAATACGTTCACTTTAGGAAAATGAGGTATTAGTTTCAACTTTCAGCTGCTTGTTTTACTTACGTATTCCTAATATTAGTAGTGTTAGATCATCTACTTCACATTGGTAAAGACACAGATACCTGATATAATATAGGTTTCAATATCTGAAAAATGTGACATTTTCTCTCTGATTTTCGGAATTAATAAGAAACCATCTTTATTTCCCCCGCAGGTAAAAATCATGTTGGGTAGTGTAATTAAACTTAGCATATGTATTTGATACTTTCAGACAGTATTATCAAGTATTGGCTTTTCTTTTATTTTTTTACTATTTTCTTTTGTTCTACGGATGTCTAGAGGGCCTTTTTTCCCGAGATCCATCATGTATTAGGCCCACAATGGAGAATCTGAGTGACGAGAGGCGAGACCCAAAAGTTAATGGATCTCGCCTCTCATCACTAGGGTTTTCATGGTGTTTTTGATCGCTCGGATTTGATCCCGGGTTACCAAAGAATGATTCCATAACTGCTTCGACTAACCGGCCAACCGCCAAACATTGGATGTACTGTTTTTAGACGTGAACAATGCCTAATTGACAATGACGTGTGTAATTAGGTACAAGTACATCTCTGAAGGCATTATTTACAGGTGTAATGTGACGTAAATAATGCCTTCAGAGTCTCTAAATAATTAGGCATTATTATGCCTAATTATTTAATATTTCAATCCAGTAATCATATAGTTTAATCTATTATTTAAGAATTTAAATATCATTTTATATTGTTTTAATGTAATTATTTCAATGAAGTGTACTGTAAATTTATGTAGAAAAGTTTCTATTAAAATCGCTAGAACTTACCATTTATGTTAATACAGAAATCGTCTGTTAATATTTTTACTAGCGCCCCCTTTCCAAAAAGTATTTTTTTTTTTTAAATTAAAAATTTATTTTTTATTAACAGTTTCCTTTTAAAATTATTTGCTAATTTCAGTGTCAGTATTATAACTTTTGTTATATTATATCACTTTAAATACAAACTGTCTTATATTAAAAACTTTCTTGTACAATCAAACTACATTTGTATTTTGACAGCTGAACGGCCGCGCGGTCACAAGGTCTTAGATTAAATCTAAGACCTTGGCGCGGTCAAGGTGTCAACCTATCGCTTCTGATGGACCGGAAATCGAATCCGGGCCCGTCCGGTTTCGATTCCTGGTAATCCGACCGGATATGTCAGCCCCCGCGCTCATCACTTGGTTTCCTCATTGTGGGTCTGGCCGAACCCATGGGCATGCTAAAATGAGGCCCTCTTAGTGCCCATAGATTGAAAAGAGTTTTAAAAATATAAGTATCTCCATTTTTTAAAGAACTGATAAATAGCTACAAATATATTCTTGGATAAATTTAAATATTGTGATTAGTAAACGAATTTAATTAGTAATACATTAGAAAGCCTTTCATAATTTCGCCGGTTTATAGATCTCACCTTCTATAAGCTTGTGAAATTTGGCCAAACATTTATGAAACAACCCGTACAAATAACATTTAATAAATAAAAGTAATTACTGTATATATCCCGCTTTGATATTTTATTTTACTGAATTTTTGAAACAGAAATTTAAAAATGATAATATTTAATTACTGATTTTTATATTATTTTAGTATCTGTATCAAATGAATTTTAAATTCATCATGAATTATTAAATATTAACAAAACAATGTTGGCTTATTTACACAGCAATAATACATTTTATTTATTATTATTTAATATTGTATTCTAATAATCAGGATCATAAACAGCTTCTTTATATCAGTATTTTAACTTTTTTATTCATATCAAGAGTTAATTCAAAATTTTTATCTGTTTAATTAACTAGTACAGGAGGTGATGTCTAATAGAAATTCGATACAAATAACACAGGAGAATTACAAAATACGACAGAACTATTCAAACTCATCTCCTCAGAACATCTTATGGAAAATGATGAGTGAAGGTTCAATATGCGATTCTGTCTTAAAAACCACGGACGGAGGGGAATTCCAGGTTCATCGAGCAATATTAGTTACCTGCAGTCCTTACTTCGAAGCGTTATATACGAGTTCGATTAACAAGATTCCAAGAAGAGTAATCATGATTCCAGGTATAACAGCCAAGATGCTGCAGCACATAATACAGTTCGCCTATATGCGACACAACGATATATCGATGAACAACGTGAGCCAATTAACTTCGGTGGCAGATAAATTTATGGTCTTCAAAATGTTAAAAAATTGCTGCGATTTTCTACTTAATTACATCAATATAAGTAACTGCATCGGCATATGGAAGTTGTTTAAGATTCATCACTGCAAAGAGATGGAATCGAAAGCTTTCAAGTGTGTATATTAATTTTTATAAAGTATTCTCATAGTGTTACGAAATCACAATAAAGTTTTCGCCTTCTTTAATAGATTTATATTAACCAACTTTACAAAAGTCGCTAGAAAAGAACAGTATCTAACACTATCCGTGGATGAAGTGATAAAGTTCGTAAGTCACGAAGAACTGAACGTCAAAGGAGAAGATTTCGTGTGGGAAATGGTTTTGCGTTGGATCGAACACGATCAAAATGGCCGTTCGATGTATATTAGCAGGCTAATACCACACGTACGCTTGGGTTTGATGGATCCGGATTACTTTATAGAAAACGTCAAACTGAACAAGTACGTTTGTAACGATTCAAACTGCCGCTCTGTTATCAGCGAAGCCATCAAGTGCCTATTTGATTTGGATGTGAACATGCTGGAAAGAAACCGTAGGCCTATTATATCAATATGTGAATTACAGACACCAAGATTACCACATGAAATCGTCTTCGTTATTGGTGGTTGGAGTGGCGAAAGCGCTATAAATCTTATAGAAACTTACGATATTAAAACGGATAGTTGGATGATAGTTGTGAGTAACTAATGTTTACTTGTAGAGTATAATCAATGTTTACGCGGTATAATTACACAGTATAATCCATGCAATGTTTAGATACTATAATTATACGGTGTACAGTGTCTAATATATAACTATCATAAAAACAAAGTTTTAAATGTATATTGTTTCCATCTGAGACCATTACGATTTGCATAAGTCTATGGCGTGTTGCTTGGTAAAGTGGCTCTAATACAACTTGATAAGTAAATCGATGGCGTAGTCTATTTCATTTAAAACGGAAATGACTTGTTATCCAGCTGTATTGAAGTCGCTTTATTACTCAATCCATTCTATAGCATAGAGCTTAGCTATTTTGCATGTATAATTAAGCCTATTTGGTGGACGGAAAGTCTTTATATATTATAGCTTAGGGCCATTACAAGCAGAGCTGGCTGAAGGTTTTATGGAGCTCCAAGAAAACGTTTTTAATGGGCCTTACAATTTTATTCAAAACAATTTTTTTTAATCGGAAAATTATAAAAGTTTATTGAACATGTTTAAAAACATTAAATACAGTTTTCAGTAAAACATTAAAAACAGTAAATACATGTTTTCATTAAATACTATTTAATGAAAACAAAAAAATCTATAATCAAATTTTCTTAGAAGTTTGAAAATGCGGGGCCCTCTGAACACAGAGCATCAGTGTGAGGCCCGAAAAACGTCTGAGACGGCCCTGACTACGGCACTAATAAACTCATTTTAATGTAAGTTTATTACTTTTCCTGCGCTGTTATATATAATAGAGGGAAAGTATGGAGATCGATCAAAAAATGACGCCCTCTCAAGATTGTTACACTTTTCACGGGATCTTAAAACGATGAGAAATGCAAAAAAATTCGGAAGTTTGTATGTGTAAACCTTACTTACTTACTTAACATACTTAATAAGCTTAATACTTAAAGCACAAGCTTAATAAATCTTGTGCTTTTCGTCGAAAATTTATGAAAATTTGCAGGGAAGTTTGTATCTTAAGGGATTAATCCTGTTAATTTTTGGTGGTTGAAAGGTCTAATTGGAGTGGAGATAGAGGGGCTCGTGTGTCATATCTCGAATGGGATCGGACTTAATGAAGGTTTTACTTCTTATTAGCATTTACAATTCTATTATATCCCTACCCTCAAAATTAAGCTTTTTGCCATTTTATAATAATTACATAAGAAGTTTTTAAATAAAATATCATAACGGATGGAGCCATAAACAGTCTTAAATGTTGCCGGAAAACTTAAGTAACTGGCTTCTGGATTTTTTCTGTAAAAATTTCTATCTTCATTCTACAGTAAATGAAAATAGAAAACAGTACTTTTATATTAAATTGTAATTTTACATATCTTTGCCTGATTTAAGGATGGAAATGCCAATTTTGTTCTATAGAAAATACTAAAACGAAATTAATATTTTTATAGTTACCCACAGAAAATCAAATTGGTCCAAGAGCTTATCATAAATGTGCAGTTGTGGGTTACAAAATCTATATTTTAGGAGGATTCGATGGTACAGAGTATTTTAATACTTGCTATTGCTTTGATACTTTAATGACAGACTGGATGGAGATTGCTCCAATGTATTCGGAAAGGTTAATATATATAGAAAAAATAATTTAAGCATAGACCACACAGGAATCTTATATTTACTGTATATATTTTTTAGATGTTACATTAATGTAGCCATTACAGACAACATTATATACGCCTTGGGTGGATATAATGGAATCACCAGACTAAATTCGGCAGAGAAATATAACTGTGACACAAATCAAGTAAGTGTAATAAAATAGTTTTTGCTTTATAAAATTTTACCAACTTTAGAACTATATTTTTGCTTCCTCCGTTTAAGTGGGAGATGATCGCTTCCATGCATTTCGAAAGGAGTGATGCATGTGCTGCAGAGTTAGAAGGATGCGTTTATGTAGTGGGTGGTTTTAATGGTCGAGATTTCATGAGTTCGGCAGAATTTTACAATCCCGAAACGAATCAGTGGACTACAATATCTTCCATGAATACCTTTCGTAGTGGGGTTTCTTGTACAAATCATAACGGAATCCTCTACGTTTTTGGAGGTTTCAACGGAACTTCTAGACTTTCTAGTGGAGAAAAATATAATCCTAGAACCAAAAAATGGCTTTCTCTTTCGGATATGAACATACCTAGAAGTAATTTTGCTGTCGTTGTAAGTAAATTTTGCTTCAGTTGATTTATGCTTATATAACGTATATGAACAGTACATATATGATACGTAATTCTTTTCTCATTAATAGGTTTTAGAAGATCTAATATTTGCTCTGGGTGGTTTTAACGGCGCTACAACGGTTTCTAGTGTGGAGTACTACGATATAGAAAAAGACGAGTGGATTCAAGTTAAAGAAATGCACATTACAAAATCTGCTTTAACAGCTTGCGTAGTAACAGATCTACCCAACGTCAGAGATTATATCTCAAGAAGAGAAGTCTGATNATCTTGCAATTTGATAATCTATTTTTAAAACCTCGCTGACAATAATTTTAGTATTAGTGTCATTTCGTTTATAAACACTGCAATTTAGTCAATAATTGGTGCATTTACAAATACAGTATGATATTGTTTTTAGGCGGAGATTTGCGTAGCAGCAGGTACCGCAAAAAAGAGATGCCGCATAAATTCGTGCTCCACCACAACTAGTCTCTGATGATTGTCTTTCAGAACTCATGGTGTTCATTTAAACACAACTTTTTTTTACACAGAAGCAGCTGAACTTTTTTTTAAAAAAACACTTTTTCTGCCCTGTTGACACTAAGAGGATCTTTCTTAAAATCGTACCCGTCGTGGATTTGTCCAGGCCTAGAATGATTGCGGCCAGTTGATGAGTACGGGGCCCGACACACAGAGCCGGCCCTACCATAGGGCGAACGGAGCAGCCGCTCCAGGCGCTAAGTCCTAGGGGGCGCCTCAGTGGTGAAGAAAATTAAAGGGTATAAATTAGGGGCAACCAGGGGGCTCCATAATAGGATCTCGCTCCATCCTAAAACTTGCCTCGGGCCGGCACTGCCGACACATCCCGGACAGACATATTCGGGGATGATTTACCCCGAAATATTCTTGAAGAGTTGCTCAGCCGAATTTGATCAGGATTCTGCAGAGCGGTGGGGTAATGCCTTACCCGCCTCGGCCACCCGTCCTCTTGCCTTTAGCGTTTTGGCGATTCGGCCGTCTAGCGACAGAGTAATTAGGACCGACTCGACCAGTCTGAAAAATTTCCAAAGATCTTCAATGGTTGTTTTTCGGAGATTAGGAAAACTAGTTAGACTCGCGTAACTGGTTACGTGACAAAGGAACAAAGATTACACAAAAGATAACACGGACTTGACTCACGGAAAGTCAGCGCTGAAAAGGGGGAGAGTAAAACGAGGTCACTGTCAGCAACGGTTCCCCGAGGGGTCAACAGCGCCACCAAACTTTTATTACGTAACAGGAAAAATATTTACAAACATCACCGCGACACAATGCATTGTACGTATCGATGCCATATAATATTTAACAATGGCTTCAATCCTTGATTCCAACATTCAAACCAAATCACGATGCCAAAATTTCTAACAAGCTAATCACGATATTTTTCTAACTCTTTACCAGGTGGGCACTAAGAGGACAGAGGACCTTTTTCAGGCCCAGAGAAGTTTCGGCTAGATTTACAATGGGGTAAGTGACGGGATTTGACTGACTGTATAAAAAAATTCTCGAGACTCTTCGTCTGGTCGGATTAAATCCCGAATTTTGAAAGTAACGTGTTGATGTCTTTGCATCACTCATCACTGATGACGAAGAATGGGTACTGGCCTGGCTTATCGGGGCAAGATTACTTATGAAATGTTTTGAATATCTAATCCAGAGTTGAATGAAAGTTTTCCAGAGCGGAGAACTCATTGCTTTCAAAGACTACCAAAGAAAAAATTTATACACATTTAAAATAATCGATAAATTTATTTATTAAAATAACTTCATTGCAAAATATTATAGAACACCCATCAAAGTTTTAAAATATTTACTTGTGTCAAAAATAATAAAATTATTAAAATGATCAATATTATTCTTTATAAATTATACGACTTTATTAAATTTTAGTTCAAGTTTTACTTTTGATCGGATACTTGAATTGTGTTTTTAGTTATGGAAAAAAATTACAAAAAATAAAGGAAAAAGTATCTTTTCCTTTCACGTTTGTAACTTTTAATACTAATAGGATGAATTTATCAATAGAAAAACATTGATTATTTTAAATATTCGAATTTCATCTAAAATTCGAACAAATAAATTTGAAAGACAATACAAAAAATGAAAATATGTCATCAAATGTGTCATCAAATATTTAACTGTATCTTAAGATCTTTGTTTAAATTTTTTTCTTTCGAACTATAAGTTTCATCTCATTAGCACCTACTACATTTCCAGTCAACCATTTTTTATTAAGATTTTTCTTTAGAAGAGTAACTTAATACTTAAATATTTCATATTTTTTCACAATGATCATCATCTTATTATTATTATAAACACTTCAAATACATTTTCCATATATTACACACATATATATTAAGTAATTTACTAGGTTGATTTAAAAAATAATTAGTGTAATTTTAATTTTCCAACTAAATTATTGAGGATGCCAAGAAAGGAGCCTTTGAATAAGTATTAAACAGAAGATTCTTTGTTAAAGAGGTGAAGGTCTGCTATAAGTTCGCCTATTATGTCAAATGCAAACATGATTTCGGCTTTTAAAAATAATTTATACGAATTTATTATATTTTTAAAATTAGAAATAACGGAAGATATATTTAAAAACTTAAAAACAAAAATAAAAAAATATACTTTTTGAACTGAAATTATTCATTATACAGCGGCGGAATAAATGCGGATACATAAATTGATTAAATATTATAAACAACGATGCAATATTATTATTATATAATTTGATAAAAGTCGAAAATAAAAATTAAAAAAATTATTTAAAACGATAAAATACGTTTAATGTTTAAAAATAATTATATTTCCGGTCATCTGGGTTTGTTGTGACGTCAGAGCCGGTCAGACGAATCTTTCGGAGCGTCGGTGATTGTATTTTGGTAACCATGTGAACGTAAGATTTTATTATACAAGTCGATGCCGTTATTATTTTAAAGTATTTTTCTACCATTATGTGCGTGAATCATCTAAAAAATACGTACGAAAGTAAGAAATTCTGATGTTGTATAGGTGAAAGGAAGTTTTTTTAGTGTCAAAGCTAAGCCTAACGGATCTTATTAGCTAAGATGGCGTCCACTTTGAGTGATGAGGAATTGAGAGAGAAACTCGAAGAGTTAGGAGAGAAGGTAGGTCCTATAACACACACGACAAGAAAAGTTTACGAAATGAAATTCGACAAAGCTATGCAACAACGTAAAACGAAACGTCGTAGCTCGAATAAGTTAGAATTGAGCCGTTTCAGTTCGGACGAGAACGAAATGGATGGGAAAGGTTCGAAAACATCCACATCATCTACGTCATCACGACGTCACATTCGTCCAAGACGAAGCATTGTTTCTGGTCGATCTCAATCAACAAATGATCAAGTTGATTCTAATGCCTTTAAAATACCCGATATTCCTACGTCAAGAACGTTAACTAATAGTAATCGGTCTCCTAGTCCTTCGACTTATCTATCTTCTGATCTCACCAGGACTAGTGTTCGAAGCTCTCGAAGATTGCGTCGACAGAAATTAAATAATTTTGATATAGATTCATCGGATTCGGATATCGATTTGGATCATCATAATCGTTTTAAAAAGAAACATGTACAATCGGAACGTACTAATTTGGAAAATAATATAGATTCATCTTCACATTACAATTGGGATAATTCATTTTATAAAACTGAAAAATTTGATAATAACGACAAAACCGAAGCACAGGTTTCGACTGGTGAGTTATCGTTTACTTTTCCTTATTTTCTTTCGTTTAATATAGTAATTGATCGAATTTATGAGTTAATGTGTGAATCGGGGGTCTCCTTGGCTTTTTTGTGGCAATTGCCAAACGTTTCTTATTTGCTGGGTTATTTTTTCTCTTACTGTGACTTTTTTACCGACCCAAAATGAAAGTATGACGGATAATATAAAAAAATGCAGAGTTTTTATGATTGAGTTTCTCAAGCAATTTTATTTTGTTTAATTTTTCGAAAAAATTCATTCCATGGTCGAGTATATGGACTCGAAGATTGCCTCCATTTGTAGATCTAAAAGCTTTTATTTTGAATTAAATTCTCCCTGGAATTCAATTAAGGCTTTTTGATAGACATGTTTATTATTATATTATTACAGTCTACAAGTTGGTGTTGTAACTCCCTTAACTTTATTTTTGTTTATTAATATACATACATATATATACAATACAGAAATAATTTCCTTTAGAAAATCTTCAAATTTACCTCTAGACAAAAAGAAAACATTTAAATCCAGAGGTAAAACCTCCAAAATGGTAACTCTGCATCAACTATGCATCTAATTGTAGGTGGCATTGTTAATTTACACAAATTTAACAATAAAATTGTATCAGATCATGAGTGATTCACGTTCTTTTTCGTTGAACGACGTTTTCTTCTCCAGATTACTCTGGTTTCTGGCTATTCGCCACTACAATTGCCAGATGAATGCAATTTTTGCAAACTGAATTTTATTACGGACAGCAAAACTCTTGTTTAATGATTGTTTATTAAATCTAATCAAAGTTATTTTACTGAAAAAAATACAGAGAAAATGATAATCAGTTTTGAACTATAATAAAAGAAAAAATCTGTCTGGTTAGTAGTATTTATCTTCAGAGTTTATAGGTTGNCAGGAGGTGATGTCTAATAGAAATTCGATACAAATAACACAGGAGAATTACAAAATACGACAGAACTATTCAAACTCATCTCCTCAGAACATCTTATGGAAAATGATGAGTGAAGGTTCAATATGCGATTCTGTCTTAAAAACCACAGACGGGGGGGAATTCCAGGTTCATCGAGCAATATTAGTTACCTGCAGTCCTTACTTCGAAGCGTTATATACGAGTTCGATTAACAAGATTCCAAGAAGAGTAATCATGATTCCAGGTATAACAGCCAAGATGCTGCAGCACATAATACAGTTCGCCTATATGCGACACAACGATATATCGATGAACAACGTGAGCCAATTAACTTCGGTGGCAGATAAATTTATGGTCTTCAAAATGTTAAAAAATTGCTGCGATTTTCTACTTAATTACATCAATATAAGTAACTGCATCGGCATATGGAAGTTGTTTAAGATTCATCACTGCAAAGAGATGGAATCGAAAGCTTTCAAGTGTGTATATTAATTTTTATAAAGTATTCTCATAGTGTTACGAAATCACAATAAAGTTTTCGCCTTCTTTAATAGATTTATATTAACCAACTTTACAAAAGTCGCTAGAAAAGAACAGTATCTAACACTATCCGTGGATGAAGTGATAAAGTTCGTAAGTCACGAAGAACTGAACGTCAAAGGAGAAGATTTCGTGTGGGAAATGGTTTTGCGTTGGATCGAACACGATCAAAATGGCCGTTCGATGTATATTAGCAGGCTAATACCACACGTACGCTTGGGTTTGATGGATCCGGATTACTTTATAGAAAACGTCAAACTGAACAAGTACGTTTGTAACGATTCAAACTGCCGCTCTGTTATCAGCGAAGCCATCAAGTGCCTATTTGATTTGGATGTGAACATGCTGGAAAGAAACCGTAGGCCTATTATATCAATATGTGAATTACAGACACCAAGATTACCACATGAAATCGTCTTCGTTATTGGTGGTTGGAGTGGCGAAAGCGCTATAAATCTTATAGAAACTTACGATATTAAAACGGATAGTTGGATGATAGTTGTGAGTAACTAATGTTTACTTGTAGAGTATAATCAATGTTTACGCGGTATAATTACACAGTATAATCCATGCAATGTTTAGATACTATAATTATACGGTGTACAGTGTCTAATATATAACTATCATAAAAACAAAGTTTTAAATGTATATTGTTTCCATCTGAGACCATTACGATTTGCATAAGTCTATGGCGTGTTGCTTGGTAAAGTGGCTCTAATACAACTTGATAAGTAAATCGATGGCGTAGTCTATTTCATTTAAAACGGAAATGACTTGTTATCCAGCTGTATTGAAGTCGCTTTATTACTCAATCCATTCTATAGCATAGAGCTTAGCTATTTTGCATGTATAATTAAGCCTATTTGGTGGACGGAAAGTCTTTATATATTATAGCTTAGGGCCATTACAAGCAGAGCTGGCTGAAGGTTTTATGGAGCTCCAAGAAAACGTTTTTAATGGGCCTTACAATTTTATTCAAAACAATTTTTTTTAATCGGAAAATTATAAAAGTTTATTGAACATGTTTAAAAACATTAAATACAGTTTTCAGTAAAACATTAAAAACAGTAAATACATGTTTTCATTAAATACTATTTAATGAAAACAAAAAAATCTATAATCAAATTTTCTTAGAAGTTTGAAAATGCGGGGCCCTCTGAACACAGAGCATCAGTGTGAGGCCCGAAAAACGTCTGAGACGGCCCTGACTACGGCACTAATAAACTCATTTTAATGTAAGTTTATTACTTTTCCTGCGCTGTTATATATAATAGAGGGAAAGTATGGAGATCGATCAAAAAATGACGCCCTCTCAAGATTGTTACACTTTTCACGGGATCTTAAAACGATGAGAAATGCAAAAAAATTCGGAAGTTTGTATGTGTAAACCTTACTTACTTACTTAACATACTTAATAAGCTTAATACTTAAAGCACAAGCTTAATAAATCTTGTGCTTTTCGTCGAAAATTTATGAAAATTTGCAGGGAAGTTTGTATCTTAAGGGATTAATCCTGTTAATTTTTGGTGGTTGAAAGGTCTAATTGGAGTGGAGATAGAGGGGCTCGTGTGTCATATCTCGAATGGGATCGGACTTAATGAAGGTTTTACTTCTTATTAGCATTTACAATTCTATTATATCCCTACCCTCAAAATTAAGCTTTTTGCCATTTTATAATAATTACATAAGAAGTTTTTAAATAAAATATCATAACGGATGGAGCCATAAACAGTCTTAAATGTTGCCGGAAAACTTAAGTAACTGGCTTCTGGATTTTTTCTGTAAAAATTTCTATCTTCATTCTACAGTAAATGAAAATAGAAAACAGTACTTTTATATTAAATTGTAATTTTACATATCTTTGCCTGATTTAAGGATGGAAATGCCAATTTTGTTCTATAGAAAATACTAAAACGAAATTAATATTTTTATAGTTACCCACAGAAAATCAAATTGGTCCAAGAGCTTATCATAAATGTGCAGTTGTGGGTTACAAAATCTATATTTTAGGAGGATTCGATGGTACAGAGTATTTTAATACTTGCTATTGCTTTGATACTTTAATGACAGACTGGATGGAGATTGCTCCAATGTATTCGGAAAGGTTAATATATATAGAAAAAATAATTTAAGCATAGACCACACAGGAATCTTATATTTACTGTATATATTTTTTAGATGTTACATTAATGTAGCCATTACAGACAACATTATATACGCCTTGGGTGGATATAATGGAATCACCAGACTAAATTCGGCAGAGAAATATAACTGTGACACAAATCAAGTAAGTGTAATAAAATAGTTTTTGCTTTATAAAATTTTACCAACTTTAGAACTATATTTTTGCTTCCTCCGTTTAAGTGGGAGATGATCGCTTCCATGCATTTCGAAAGGAGTGATGCATGTGCTGCAGAGTTAGAAGGATGCGTTTATGTAGTGGGTGGTTTTAATGGTCGAGATTTCATGAGTTCGGCAGAATTTTACAATCCCGAAACGAATCAGTGGACTACAATATCTTCCATGAATACCTTTCGTAGTGGGGTTTCTTGTACAAATCATAACGGAATCCTCTACGTTTTTGGAGGTTTCAACGGAACTTCTAGACTTTCTAGTGGAGAAAAATATAATCCTAGAACCAAAAAATGGCTTTCTCTTTCGGATATGAACATACCTAGAAGTAATTTTGCTGTCGTTGTAAGTAAATTTTGCTTCAGTTGATTTATGCTTATATAACGTATATGAACAGTACATATATGATACGTAATTCTTTTCTCATTAATAGGTTTTAGAAGATCTAATATTTGCTCTGGGTGGTTTTAACGGCGCTACAACGGTTTCTAGTGTGGAGTACTACGATATAGAAAAAGACGAGTGGATTCAAGTTAAAGAAATGCACATTACAAAATCTGCTTTAACAGCTTGCGTAGTAACAGATCTACCCAACGTCAGAGATTATATCTCAAGAAGAGAAGTCTGATCTCTGAAAATAACAAGTTCAATAAATTTCTTGGACACCAGACTTAAGATTATTAATCAAAATCTATCCCTTTTACACTTCATACATTTATAAAGGAATTTAAAATAAAATTTAAAATGCTTCTAAAGTGTTATTTAAGCATTATTTCTTTATATTCGTTGTGTAAGGAAGGGATTCTCAAAGTTTTTCATTCGCGTAGCTTTTAGAGCTTCTTCAATATTAGTCTTCTATCCCAACTCGTATGATCAAAATAATATTTCGATATTAGTAGGAACATAACAACAGGAATAATAAATTGTTCTACAAACAGTAAAATCAAAAATAAACACTTAAAGTAAATAAATCCGTATATTTTTTTATTAAAAATGTGTAAAGTTTGCACCCTTGTACACGTTTTGGGCTTCCTCTTTTGGGACAGCTTAGCTCAAAATGGGATGAATGGTCCTAACCTCGCCTATCTTTAGTCCAACCGCATCGAAGTCAATCAGTGACATAAGGCTTTTCAGAATCTCGCAATGAGTAGGGCTCCATGCTGCTTGGACATTTAAAAAAATTTATATTAATAATTTTAAATTACACACCATAAAACCCGTGGGAATTAATTCAAATTAATTTTTGCTTTCATGAAATAAACAAGGCTTAAAAACACCACACTGGGCAAGATGGGGAGCACCACCACACTGGGCAAATTCTTAGATATAGATAAGTTTCCTAATCGATGGAAAGGTCTCAATGGTCCTACTCCGTGATCTACTTGCTCTCCAGATTTCATGCCTTTGGATTTTTTTTGCAAAGGTTATTAGCATTACAGAGATTGCTTCATCCATAATTAAGTTTTGGATGAAATAATGTCACCACGATTTATTTAGGGCCTTAAAGTCGTTGTATCTACAATAATTTGGCTGAACATTAGAGTGCCTTTGAGCAATATCAGTGAAGGAACTTTAAGGCACAAAGGCGTGATTGGGTTCAGAATCAGAATGTATTTCACAGAAGCAGTAAGTATTCAGGACATCAGATTTTCTGTGTGAAAAATCCCGAAACAAAGTCAATGATGATGTTAATGATGATCAAGCATAAAAATTTTCTTAACCTTCGAATGAAATTTGAATTGGGCTTGGAAATTACATACCGTATGATATAAACATAGGTATCAATGTTCAGCTTCAAATGAAAATTTCATTTACTGTATTTAAAGCTAAAACACTTTACTCAATTGTTAAACATTTACTAATATTTAATACTTATATAATTTTTTAAAAATTCACTAGCAATCTTTATAATTACTGTTATATAATGTTCTTGACTAATGTGAACTTTAATTAAATCTACTAAATGTGGACATGTACAGTACAATAATCATTTTCTATAGAAAGTAATTAAAGTATATGTGTATATAGTAAACAGGTTGTTGAATAGCATATAAGAGCATTACATTGTTCTTTATCGAAATATATGTTATAAAGTGTATATTGTATACACGAATTTACCACAATACTTGCAGATAATTAATTCAAATAGGCCTACATAAAATCTTGCAATTATAAAACTTATTGTAATGTTTGAATTTCAAAAAATTTATATCAAAGATAATACATATTTAAATATAATTGTTTTTATTTAAACGAAAAATATGTTCAATACTTAATATATAATTTGTAAATTACAGAAACTCTCTAGTACTCTAAACAAAGCTTATACATATATCAATTTTGTCATTTTAAATGAAAATTCAAAACTTTTATGTCAAGGATAGCAACTTTACTATTAAAATTCTAATATTCTAGAATTATAGAACATTGCAGAAAATATGCATTTCAAATAATCTTAACGAAAAACGAAATGAAAGACGAATACACTCGTCATTTTTCTACTTGAATGTAGAAAACTTGGTAACCGCTTTCATTCCTTCGGAAACGGCATGTTTAGCCAATTCTCCCGGCAACAATAATCTAACGGCTGTCTGAATTTCTCGACTGGTGATGGTGGATTTCTTATTGTAAGCGGCCAAACGGGTGGATTCCAAAACGATTCTTTCGAACACGTCGCTGACGAAACTGTTCATTATAGACATGGCTTTGCCAGATATTCCGGTATCCGGATGAACCTGTTTCAGTACCTTATAAATGTATATGTTATAACTTTCCTTTCTTTCTCGTTTACGTTTCTTCTTCTCCGGTTCTCTAATTTCCATATTCTCCGGACGTTTCAGCTTTGCTCCTTTTCCAGAATGATGCATAAATGGAGCCATTTTGGCTTTGGAAAAATTGGAAGAACTTCCGGCTTTAGCGACTTCTTTCTCCATCACAAAAATTTGCTTCGACCAATTACTGAATACGTTTAATTAACTAGAAATGTGCAGTGTAGCGATTGAACAATTTGAATGAGACCTGTCAATTACGAATTCGTTACTTTTTTAAAAATTAGATTCTTATTTATCGTCGCAAGAGGGCAGACGCGCATTGCAAAAAAAAAAAAAAAATGTAATGTTAAAAATATTTTACAGAATTTAGAAAACTAGATTTTGTATTTTTCACTTTACAAACACTCGAAAAAGAGTAATAAATAAATAATATATAAATATTTAGAAACATTGCTCCTCGGATCTTTAGGAGGATGAGGTACAGTACAGCACCAGAGACATCAATTTTAGTACAGTACAGTAACAGAGACATCAAAAACATGAATAAAGATACAGTAGACCCCCCTATAACGCGGGTTCTTATAATGCGGATTCCTACAAAACGAAATTCGTATAAAGCGGAACGTATCTACCGCATTATAGGAGGGTCTACTCTGTTTTTAATACTCAATGAAATGAATAATTTGAATATATATTTTTGATGTCTCCGTGTGTGACTCGGGCTAAAGGGACCTGCTGATCAGCTTGTGATAGATCTATGTTAATTTTATTAATCTTTATATACTTTCTGGATTCTATTATCTAAAATTTTTTCATGCTTTTTAAAATTGCCGAGATAAGATTCGATAATATGCGACTTTGATTATTTAAAGTAGACTATTTGTCTTTCTGAATTTGATCCTTTGTAGATGTTTTTTCTCTAAGACGTTTATTTGAAATTATCTCTGACCGTGATTTAAAAAATATGATAAGCAAATTAAGAAACAGTGTATTACTGTATTTTAATTCCTTTCGTCCTGTGGGTACCAAGTGGGCCGTTTTCTATGACTATCATGAATTTGGTAGTAAGTTGAACTCATAATGGTTAGTGAGGGGCGAAGTAAATATCGGGAACAAATCTCAGAAAAAGTCTGGAATTTCCCATCTTCGAATCGTTCCTGTTTCTTTCAAGAAAGGCATGATGACATCTTTAGTACCGTCGTGAACATGGCCGTCATATATAACGTTTGCACAGCAAACCCTTCGTCCACCTGCATTCATGCCTACTCTCTTCTTTAGTGCAATGTATTTCCTTATATTTTAAGACTGGTCAAGAAGTTTTTAATTCTTCCACATATTTAACGATGACTTCTAAAGATAGTGAAATTCTTGTTGATTCTGTTCTTGTCTTTAAGCATTTGTTTCTGCAAATTCAATATTCTAATATTTCTACAATAATTATATTAATTACTTGGTTTCACGAACTAAAACTTTTGAAAATTAATTATTTAATAATCTGATTGCATATAAAGGATTTTTTTCTTTGACAAGTTAAGCGCCTAAAAGATAAAGCACGTACATGTATTGTTAAAAATGAGCAATAAACAAATACAAATGCTTGCTGCTTTTGCTATTTCCCGATTTACCAATCTTATTTTCGAAATCTTGCAATTTGATAATCTATTTTTAAAACCTCGCTGACAATAATTTTAGTATTAGTGTCATTTCGTTTATAAACACTGCAATTTAGTCAATAATTGGTGCATTTACAAATACAGTATGATATTGTTTTTAGGCGGAGATTTGCGTAGCAGCAGGTACCGCAAAAAAGAGATGCAGCATAAATTCGTGCTCCACCACAACTAGTCTCTGATAATTGTCTTTCAGAACTCATAGTGCTTATTTAAACACAACTTTTTTTTACACAGAAGCGGCTGAACTTTTTTTTTAAAAAAAAACACTTTTTCTGCCCTGTTGACACTAAGAGGGTCTTTCTTAAAATCGTACCCGTCGTGGATTTGTCCAGGCCTAGAATGATTGCGGCCAGTTGATGAGTACGGGGCCCGACACACAGAGCCTGCCCTACGCTCCAGGCGCTAAGTCCTAGGGAGCGAGCGCCTCAGTGGTAAAGAAAATTAAAGGGTATAAATTAGGGGCAACCAGGGGGCGCCATAATAGGATCTCGCTCCATCTTAAAACTTGCCTCGGGCCGGCACTGCCGACACATCCCGGACAGACATATTCGGGGATGATCTACCCCGAAATATTCTTGAAGAGTTGCTCAGGCGAATTTGATCAGGATTCTCCAGAGCGGTAGGTTAATGTCTTACCCGCCTCGGCCACCCGTCCTCTTGCCTTTAGCGTTTTGGCGATTCGGCCGTCTAGCGACAGAGTAATTAGGACCGACTCGACCAGTCTGAAAAATTTCCAAAGATCTTCAATGGTTGTTTTTCGGAGATTAGGAAAACTAGTTAGACTCGCGTAACTGGTTACGTGACAAAGGAACAAAGATTACACAAAAGATAACACGGACTTGACTCACGGAAAGTCAGCGCTGAAAAGGGGGAGAGTAAAACGAGGTCACTGTCAGCAACGGTTCCCCGAGGGGTCAACAGCGCCACCAAACTTTTATTACGTAACAGGAAAAATATTTACAAACATCACCGCGACACAATGCATTGTACGTATCGATGCCATATAATATTTAACAATGGCTTCAATCCTTGATTCCAACATTCAAACCAAATCACGATGCCAAAATTTCTAACAAGCTAATCACGATATTTTTCTAACTCTTTACCAGGTGGGCACTAAGAGGACAGAGGACCTTTTTCAGGCCCAGAGAAGTTTCGGCTAGATTTACAATGGGGTAAGTGACGGGATTTGACTGACTGTATAAAAAAATTCTCGAGACTCTTCGTCTGGTCGGATTAAATCCCGAATTTTGAAAGTAACGTGTTGATGTCTTTGCATCACTCATCACTGATGACGAAGAATGGGTACTGGCCTGGCTTATCGGGGCAAGATTACTTATGAAATGTTTTGAATATCTAATCCAGAGTTGAATGAAAGTTTTCCAGAGCGGAGAACTCATTGCTTTCAAAGACTACCAAAGAAAAAATTTATACACATTTAAAATAATCGATAAATTTATTTATTAAAATAACTTCATTGCAAAATATTATAGAACACCCATCAAAGTTTTAAAATATTTACTTGTGTCAAAAATAATAAAATTATTAAAATGATCAATATTATTCTTTATAAATTATACGACTTTATTAAATTTTAGTTCAAGTTTTACTTTTGATCGGATACTTGAATTGTGTTTTTAGTTATGGAAAAAAATTACAAAAAATAAAGGAAAAAGTATCTTTTCCTTTCACGTTTGTAACTTTTAATACTAATAGGATGAATTTATCAATAGAAAAACATTGATTATTTTAAATATTCGAATTTCATCTAAAATTCGAACAAATAAATTTGAAAGACAATACAAAAAATGAAAATATGTCATCAAATGTGTCATCAAATATTTAACTGTATCTTAAGATCTTTGTTTAAATTTTTTTCTTTCGAACTATAAGTTTCATCTCATTAGCACCTACTACATTTCCAGTCAACCATTTTTTATTAAGATTTTTCTTTAGAAGAGT